GTGTGTGTGTGTGTGTGTGTGTGTGTGTGTGTGTGTGTGTGTGTGTGCGTTCGTGCCTTCTGCTGAACAATCCAAGCCATGGCGTCGTTGAAGCTCCTCGCAGGGTCCTCCCAGGCTCCAGAACTCCCTCCTCTGGTGCTCTTCCTCCTCTGTAAGGTGCTCACCATGAACTTCTTGACCCCCTTCAGCTGGTCGTTGTAAAAGTCCAAGCTGACGTTCAAAAACACACACAAACATCCGGCCTTAGTTTTTTATATCAACAACAAAAATGTGTGTAATAAATACAAAAAAACAATAATAAAATAATTTTCTGTGAATGTATGAATCAGGACTCGGCTGAAACAGCTGTTCAAGCTTAAAAAATGTAGAAGACTGGTAACTGACAAAATAGTGACAAAAAGCCAATACTAGCACAATGCTAGCTAAAAATACCAAAACAAGTTCAAGTTAGTGTTTGTTTACCAAAACAAGTAGCCAAAGTGTGTGTTTCCAAAAAAACTGTACAATTCTTTGCTTGTTGACACAACAAACAGCTAAAGTTTCAAAATAGCACAGCACTAGCTAAATACATCAATGCTTTGCTAAATGTAGCAGGGGCTAGCTAAAAAAGCAAAAAGTGAACTAGAACCAGCATTAGCYTAGCTAAAATAAAAACAATGAAAGGCTAGCTTAAAGCTAAAATTAGCTAAAAGGTAGAAGTTAAATGTAGCAAAATGCTTCCCACAAACAGTAGCATTTTAGCTCAGTAGCATTGGTCTAGCTAAAAGTAGCAAGCTAGTGGCTAAACGCTAAAAGTAGCCAGTAGTCAGTTTGATGGCACAAATTCCAAAGAGAACAATGTTTTTTTAAGAAAATAAAAATATCTGAATGTGTTTTTATGGGTAAAATATTTGYAAACAAAAACCAAAAGTCACATCAACCGTCTCCTGAATGAGCTAAATGATCTGTTGTAAAAACAGCTAAAATGGCACCAAGTTAGCATCAGATGGACTGGTTTTACCTCTTGATGAGACCTTCACAGGGTTGTCCCATCTGGTTTATCTCCAACGCACAAATCTTCAGAGCGTCGATGGAGTCTCTCGCCTTCCGCATGTAAAACTCCATATCCCCCGGGTTGTTGCCCTGAAATACACAGTAAATACACAGAAATATTACAATATAAATACACACAGTACAGAGAAAAATATTAAAACATAAATACACACTGTACAGAGAAAAATAATAAACATAAATACACACTGTACAGAGAGAAGTTCATTGTTGTTGTATTTACAAGTTAAATTTTGTAAGCAAAATGGCTGCCTGTATTTGTTTACCAACAAAAGTAGCCCTAGAGTTTGTTTACTAAATTAAAGTGCAAAAGTGTTTGTTCATCTATTGAAACAACCAAACTGTTTGTTTACAAAACAATTATTTTTACCAAAATAAATTGCCAAAATGATTTTTTTACCAAAATCAGTCAAGCCCATTTTAGCTACCTTGTTAATTATATCTATAGCATCTGCTTTTCCACTTTTAGCTTCTATTTTGCACATATTTTAGCTACTGTGTTGACCATTATGCTTTCCCATCTTTTTCATTTTTAGCTGTTTTAGCTCATTTTAGCTTTAGCTGTTTTACTTCAACAGTTAGGCAATTTTACCTAATGAAGCAGCTAAAGTATTTGTTTACCCAAACAAGCAGCTAAAGTGTTTATTTACCTACTGAAACAGCCAAAGTGTTAACCTACTGAAACAGCCAAAGATATTGTTTACCTACTGAAACAGCCAAAGATATTGTTTAGCTACTGAAACAGCCAAAGATATTGTTTAGCTACTGAAACAGCCAAAGATATTGTTTAACTGCTGAAACAGCCAAAGATATTGTTTAGCTACTGAAACAGCCAAAGATATTGTTTA